AGGTATATTCTATTTATTATCTTATTTTTTTCATATTTTCTTTGGCGGAGGGGTTGTTAAATACTTGAAAGTGATGGACATTGTACAACCTGCAATGGGAGAGGAAGTAGAGTGGGGTTTATTGTTTTGCTCTGCTTCATTCTTTTTTGATTGGTTCTCTGCTTAATTCATGATATATTTTGCAGTTTTCATAGTTCATACTCCTTAATTCTTAGGAAAGTCAATTGATGTAGGATGGTGCAATACAAAACCTTTGAGGAAAAGCTGTCGTGCAAGAAGCCTAGCCATTCCCTCGGACAGGAAATGGGGGTGGGTGGGTGGTTATGGTTTTACTAGGCAAATAGGTTCATCAGCCTTGGGCTAGACTGTATTCCTATCAACCCTGATATTGGTTACCTTTTTCTTTCATTCTAAAATTTACGCAGCATTAAAGCTCCTTGGATCCCGTAGTTCAGGAGTGCACTGCAGGCCTCCTATATATAGCAGTTCAACATTTACCCCTTGGAAAATCTTCCCACAATGCTCAGAGTTCTGTTTTTTTTTTTTTCTTTTTTTAAAGTCAAATCAACTAAAAAGGGGGAAAGAAAATCAGGGTACATGATGCGTCTAAAATAAATTAAATAATTTTTCTTTGGCTCTTCTGCTTCTTTCTCTTTTTTCTCTCTTATTTTTAGTGCAGAACTTTCTGTTGATTAGTGTAAAATAAATCAAATTATTCACACTGGATGCTTTAATTTGATGCATTTTTTTATTTGATCTGATTTGTTTTCTTTGGGGGTGGGGGTGGGGGTATTTGTACAGGTCGGAATTCACCCCTCAGCTGCTGAGGAGTTCGTGACGATGCGTTCTGTAACAAGGCGTGTTTCTGCAGAGAACAAGCCAAAAACAGATCCATGAAGAAAAAATGATTTAAAATGATGGGGAACATTTGGATGAGATATTCTTTTGGTTCTCTTTATTGGTACACAAATCTTACAATGTAGAAAGAAATAAAAACAGAAGGAAAATAGTGAAAGGTTCTGTTTGTTTAGTCTTGTCACAATAAAAAAAAATATTTTCCTGTTTACTGAAAGTTGGTCTTGCCATTTGTCATTCCCATATCTCACAAGAAAAAAAAAAAAAGAGAAAAAAAACAGAAACAGAGAGGGAGGGGGGAGGAAGCTTCTGAGATCACCCATCAGTAGAACTTCTTGATGACAACACTGGCCACCGATTCAGCATGTCATTACCAAAACATCCTCCCATCCTTGATCTAGAGATATCTGTAGGGTTCTTCGAAAATAACATCCCTTTTCAAATAGTTTTGTTTTGTAATGAAAATAACAAGCAGAAGTGGAAATTATTTGAATTCTTAAGAAGGCTGTGTTTGGAATCGGAACAATGTAAAAGTTTATACTAGTTTGATTTTGTCGTGTAAATCAAGAACAACTGCGTTTTGTGTGCATTTGGATGGAGTGGAGTTTTACATAGTGAATAGATATAAAACATCATCAAACATAAGGTTTTATATTGATCATCGATGTAGTAAGTACATCATGCTTTTACATTGTGAATATATGTAAAATAAATGTAAAACTCTACATTTTTCACATCATGCTTTTTAAAGCGCAACAGTTACTTCCCTCACGGTTCAGTGTAAAATGAGTCATCAGTGTTCTTTTACACCGATAACAAACACAGCCTAACAGAAGGTATTTGTCCCATGAAGTAACGCAATAGGGAGGTGTTAGTCTATTTTGAAAATAAAGGGGAGGTCTTACCGTCTTAGTATTTAGCATAAACCTCCAGGGAGGTTTTTAAGTCTTTTACCCTTTTTTTTTTTGTAGAAGACGGTCATGCTTTGAAACTGATTAGATAAGCAGACATCCTTCTTTTAGTGTGTTTGGTTACACCTCTATAAGGCCCAATTATATCTTAAATTTTACCGTGAATACAAGTGATTGGATCAGTAGTTATCTTTGGTGCACATAAGCGTTGACTTCATTTTGGGCTTCATGGAGCAACACAACGGCAACATTTGAATGGCGTTTTACAACATGACTTTTTTAAACCACCACATCAGCAAGAAAAGCTGAAATATGTTCTTGGGCTGTGTTTTTGTTTTGAAGAGCAAAAAGCAAGTGTTCTGTTTTGCATAAACCATTCATGTTTTCGAAACCATCAGAATGATGGATCTTAGAAGGAAAACAAGTTTTGGAACTCCACATGGAAAACAACTCACATTGAAGAACACCCCCTTGATGTGCATCACCTGACTTGCACTACACAAAGGTATCTTGTCATTCCTTGTATTCTCTCGTTTCTTTTCATGATTACACATTTCTTCCAAACACCGACAAAATCAAAATAGTGTAAATTTTTACATTGTTCTTGATTTATACTGATTTCAAACACAATTTTGTTAAGAATTGGTTGCATGTGAGTTCACGTGTGGCTAAATTTTATTAAAATTTTTTGAAAACCCAATATTGTCCCTCTATACTGGACTCATGGTTTGGGTTTCTAAGAAGGAAAAAAACAAAAAAGAAAGGAGATGAAGGAAAAGAAGGCAAGAAGAGAGAGAGAGAGAGAGAGAGAGAGAGATAATAAGCACTGATTAAGAGGAGTCGTGACTCGTGATTCAGTATTTCTATTTACAAGCACCGATTAAGAGGAGTCGTGATTCAGTACTTATTTTTATTTTATCCATATTTGAATCCTCTTTTTGGATAAATGTTCAATTAGAATTGAGGCAAGAAATTTTAGGGACGCAAGTTCTTGTAGAGCTTGTCATCAATCACTCAATACACGTTGATGTGGTTAAAATTAGAAAACGCAGTGCAAGCAAATGATATGGAGCTTGTGTTTTAATGATGATTTTGCTCCTGCTACAATGATTGACTTTGAAGTTAAGATTTCAGGGTTTTAGAAATTAAACCCTTGAATGAAATGACTGATAGGCTATCTTTGGGAGTGCTTAAAAATAAGAGCTTATTTGGGTCGGGACCACACCATTAAGCACTTGCCTTCTTGGTGTTTGGGACTTAAGCCCAAAATAATTGCTTATTTTAAAAATAAGAGCTTATTTTTTAAGCCCAATTTTTCAGACTTTTTTAAGTGCTTATACAATAAGCACTTATTCAATTTTTTTCTTTCAAATTTATCCGTAGTTGAATTTTAAAATATCATTTACAAAATTATCCCTAGTTGAATTTTATAAAATACTTCCGTAAAAGTGCTTTATAAAAAAGTAGTTTTATAAAGTATTCTTGTAAAAGTGCTAGTGATTTCATAAAAGTACTTTCGTAAAATTTGAAAGAAAATGAAGGACAAAATAACCGCAAATGCTTATTGGAGAAAATGACAACTAAACGCCCAATATGAAATAAGTGCTTACTTTTTAAAATAAGCACTTATTCGAATAGCACTTGTTTTTATCATAAACACTTCCAAACATGGCCTTAGAACTAGCTAAAACCTTAGGAAAAAGACAAACAGATTTATTAGTTTCAGAGCTTCTTTTATTACCATTGCTTTGCCATCGCTATTCTAGCCCAGGTAGTCCAGGTTTAGTCTTTTGGATGGTTTCATAAGAAAAACCTAAAATTTTCATTCTCTAGCAACCTCCCATTTATTGAAGGCCATGATTTCATGGTTTCATGAGCCCTAGCTGTTTTCACATCAAATTTAGAGGCGTAAATCAGGCTGTGTCGCCTGTGGCTCGGCACGGCCCGGCCCGGCCTAGCACGATAGCACGCGGGCTGTGCCAGGCCCAGCACAATGGTTCATGCTATGCTAGGCCTAGGGTTTTAGGTTCACGGCCCTGGCTTGGCCCAGCCCAACACGTCTCGTATATACTATTTATATATGGTATAAATATAATATTTATATATTTTATATATTTATATATATAATATATAATATATTATATAAATTATAATTATATAATAATATAGAGTGTATAATATATTAATAAAATAAACAATTGTTTTCAATTTTATTATACTAACTTATTTAATTATTATATATAAGCAATTGTATACATCAAAATTCATATAAAATTAAAATTTTAAGTTTTTTTTTTAATTTTTTTAAATAAATAGGCAAAAATAACTTTGACCCAGTCCATGGCCCGACTTGGACCAAGGCTTGGCCAACGGGCCACTCGACCCGCAACACGGCATGGCATGGCACGGGCTTGGGCCGTGGGCCATGCTGGTCCGATCCCAAACTATTCACTAGGGAGGGTGACATGGCCAATGACGGCCCACGGGCCAGCACGACACGACCCACACTTTGCACTGGCCATGCCGTGCCCAGCCCGGCCCACTTTACACCTCTTATCAAATTACCTTAAAATGTTCTTGAGATCAACTTTGTGAATCAACTCTTGTGAGCAACCCTTGAAGTGGTTAGAATGATCATTCTTGTTTCAAAATGGTGAAAGCTGGTCCTACGGTGCTACTCTTTGAAAATTTGAAGGATAATAAAAGATAAAAGTGTCTTTTTATCAATTATGTCAAATATAACCGCATCTTATTTAGACAGTGGAGGTTTTAAGTCCTATTAAAAATAATTGGAGGAGAGGTATAAATATTTATGACAAACCTCAAGGGAGGCTTAAGTTTTTTACCAAAGAAAAACATGAGTATCAATGTTTCAGATTTCTAAACGCTGCAATATTCCTCACTAATCCCTTCATAAAAACTATAAAAAAATTTTACAAAATATAAATAATTATCAAATTAAATTAGGGTCGTCAATTGAGTGGTGGCTCGATTGGCATGCTAGCTGGTAGTCCCAGCAGACACTAGGACTGGAATCCCGCTATTATCACCTATGTTAAAAAAATAAATAAATAAATTAGGATCTGTGGCCCGGTGGGCAGGCTTTCAGGCTCAATGTCCATGAACTACAGAACTAGGGCCTACTCAGGATTGGGTTGGACTTGGGCCTTTAAGTCTGGTTAGTGGGCATGTATTGCAAAGATCAAGTAGCTAAACAACCAAGAAAGATTGGGATGCCAAATATCCTCTACGTCCATTTATTTAACATATGAGCTAACAAGGGAAATAATCAGACACTGTCTCAAATATATTATTGACCTCCCAGTAGGGCTTATGAGTTCAACAGTGATTGAACTCTTGGCTTACAGCTCTTTATTCAGATTTAAATGTAAAAGCAAAACAACCTTCCACTATAGTTAATCGAGTTCAACAGTGATTGAACTAGATCTTAATAAGATTAATAAGACACTTTATTAAGAAGGTCGCCCCATTAATTTGGACACAGAACCTGGAAAATCAGGCCTTTAAGAAGAGAAATCTGGGGTACGTCCAACTTCATGGGGTTCTAATTCTATGCATCCATTTTCTCAGAAGCGACGGATCTTTAGTCAGGCTTCTAAGACGAAGAAGCACGCAAACAACAACCCCACACAGAAACCCAAGTGCAGCACTAGATCCTACAAGCGATACTGCAGTGCACACAAGCATCACGAAGGACTCCTCTTTGGAACCCATGTCTCTGGAAGCCATGGCCAGCTCGATCCCTGCAAATAGAAGGAGCACCCCTAACAATCCCACAGGAAATTGAGCCAACAGCTTCACCAAAGACGTCCCAAGCACAAGGCCCAACACCAATTTGGCCGCCCCTAGAATTGCCACACACCCACCGCTCCTTCCCCCAAACTTATACTGTCCAGCAAGCCCACCTGCACCATGGCAGCATGGCATGGCTCCAAACCAGCACCCAACCAAGTTCATCAACCCCACGCTCACCGAGACTGAAGTGGCTGAGAAGTGCTTCCCCGGGAAGAGATCCGACGACATCTTACAGACTGCGATCACTGAATTCAACATGGAAAGTGGTAACTGAGGAATTGTACCTTTAATGAATCCTTCCTTCCAGGCATGCCTGGACATCTTCACAACATGTATATCAGATGGCCCGAATTCAATCTCTTTGATCACTCTAGGCCTCCTTATGATGGCCAAGACCACACCCAATAGAAAAACAATCATGGCTGAAGGTAGAGATACTAAAATTCCCCATAATCGTCTCCTTGGGCTTGGAGTTCGTGGCCTTGATTCTCCAGGCAACCCATCACCACCAACTGCATCTTCTCCTTCTCTTTCTGTCTCCTCCTCCCCACCTGCACCACTAACAATCACGATAAAGCAAGCACAAACAATAGCCAAAACCAGACCATCCAATCCTAACCATGGCCTAGTCCCGCTAGACTTTCCCTTGGAAAGCTGTTGAACATTTCGAACGTACTTAACTGCAGTGAAGGCAAACGACAGCCCCTGTGAGAGCTGAATTCCCCTAACAACAGGTAGAGGAATGAGCCTATACACAAGTCCCATCAACCCAGTTACTCCCAATAAGAAAAGTATTGCCGACGTGCAGATTCCGGCAGCCATGATCTCCGGGACGCCAAAGTTTTTGCTATCCGAGATAGCAGCGGCGGCGATGGACTTCATGGGTTGGACGGGCATAGGAACACCATAGATCACACCTGTGATAATGTTGTAGACACCGGTGAATATAAGCGTTACACCAAGGTTAAGGTTATTGGCTAGTGTCATGGAGATTGCTAAAGGAATATATGTTCCCAAGTCTCCCATGGCTCCATTCAGTTCCGACCATTTGGAGCCTCTGAAAGCAAGGTTGTCCTTCAGTTTGCTGAGAGCACTGGTCGGAAAACTTGATGATGCGGGGGCAAGGTCGGTGCTCACCACCGATGGGTTTTCGCTGGTTTTGCGACACTCTGATTGGTGGTTTGGGTACTCCATGTTTGCATAAACAACTTCAGTTGCAGAATGCCAAGAGAACGTGGGTCGATTGGATTTATAACTCCGAGCGAATCTTGAGTAAAAAGCATGCCTTTTGCAGTCGTGGGAGAAGAACAAATGAGCCACTAGTTGTGGTTTGGAGGAATCGTGTTCTCCTGCACCGAGGATTTTAATATAGATAGTCAAACAAGTGATTGGGGATTATATGTATGGTGATAATTCTATTTATATTATATATTAAAAGCAGGAATCATGAGATGCTCTTCGCCCATCCTCAGGACCGCAGCCAACAGCCACTATGAAGACTCACACGGGACCCACTAATGGTCACTCATGATCATGATCATCAGTCTTAGCTTCAGCAGGTTCTGGAGCAGAGCAATGTTGATCTCTCTTTTATCAAGTGAAAAACTCAGGCCCCGCTTGATTCACAGGCCGGAATCGGAATCGGAATAGGCTATTTCCATTCCAATTGTTTGGTTGGGTGGAATTGAAATCTTATTTTCATTCATGCTGGAATGTCATTCTCCCATTTGATGGAATGTTCCGATTCCAAGTCTAACTACAAACCAAACGGATTGCACTCTCGGTGTTTTTTTCTTCTCTTTCCATTGACTTTAGAAGGTTGCGTGATTGCACTAGTAAGTGGACTAGATATATAGATGTGAATTATATTCATTTGGACTTTAGATGATTGCTAACTTAAGCCCCGCTACTTTTCAAATCTTTTTCTTATTTGTTTGGGGGAAGATCTTTCGGCTGAAAGATGGAGTTTAGAAAAAATGTGAGAAGCTTGATTGGAACTTATTTTAGGAAGAAAGAAATAGAACTTCTCGCTTTTTTTTCGTATGTTTAAATTTCGTCTTCATGCAGGAAGGCGCACATCCAAACAAGCGATCCTTCAACCGCTAAGTCTGCTAAGATCGTTAACGATTTTTTAGCTGTCAGATTTTCTGAAAGATCTTTCAAAAAAAAAAAATAATGCCAAACGGCACCTGAGCTAGCTGCTCACTACGTCTTTTCTGTTTTATTATTATTAGGGCGTGCGCGTGAGTTCACAACTCACATAGCGAAGTCAAATGCTTGCATCCCAGCAGGAACTTGGGTAGTGTTGATTTTTGAAGAGAAAAAAACACCAAAAGTTACGTACTTGCAGACGTTATCACATCTTTATTTTAATTTACCCAATAGTAACCAGCAACTTGAACTGCGTTCTCCCCCTGTTACGCTTCCTCCCCTTTGATCTGTCTCTTTTCTCTGTCCGTTTCTTTAACTGATTGAATATGGGTCCACCTCTATATGAGCTGATAATGGAGCTCATATCATGATGACAATTGGTCACCATTCGGGAAGATTACCGATTAATCTCAACCATTAGTTACTTGCCCTTGTAAGTGGACTGATGATCTCTGATCATTAAGTTCATGTCTCAAGATCAGTCAACCAATCTGGACAATCACTTGACCAGGTGTTCGGATCTTCTAGGCCCCAATATATTTGAAAAAAAAAAAAAAACACCCTCAATCAATGGTTCATTTTAACCATTGAAACATTTTCCCTGATCAGAAGATCATGCTTTTTATTCTCTGTTTTATTTTTAATATTTTGAACATTTCCTTCATTAGTAACGTTATCATTTAGGGTAAAATAATTTACTCCCCTGATGTTTCAGAGAAGTACTTAAACCTTCCCTCACCTTTAAACGTTGTAATAAAGACCTCCCCTGACCTTTAGTGTAAAATCTGCTTATTGACCTTTTCCGTTAGTTGAACGTAAAATACTTATGAATCATACTCGGGTAAAATACTTATACCTCCCTTGACGTTTTTGATAAATGCTTAAACCTCCCCTCACCTTTTGGGATGCAGCAAGGGCTTATACAGTTCAAGATTTTAATGAGACAATGTTGAAAGCTAGCTTGGGAGTGGGCGAAGGACACACCTTCAAAATGTTGGAGTAGGCATGCTTTCAACACTAGTGCAAAGAGTGATGACTTACATAACAATATGTCCGAGTCCTTTAACAAGTGGATAATAGAAACCAGTTTGAGAAGATATGAAAATGTTTAAAGATGACACAGCGTGGAAGCAATAAAAACCGGGCTGGCTACGCAAGCACCGGGCGAACACAAGCTTCTAGCAAAGCTAATGAAAATCTCTAGAGGAGAGAGAAAAGGTGGCAAAAATTGAAGTATAAATCTGAAGTGTGTATTAGCTTGGAAAGAGCAATATTTATAATACATCTGAAAATTGTAGAAGAACTAGGAAAGAACAACTATGATAAATATCAAAACATCTAATCTTCTAGGGTCGACTTCTTGATCTTGGTCTTGATAGGATCAAATACTTTGGCTTGATCTTCACTGTCCGATCTCCCTGGATCTTATCCATGCATTGAACTCTTGATGAGTCTTGGATTCTTGAATTCTTGATGAGTCTTGGGTTCTTGAATTCTTGATGAGTCTTGGATCCTTGAATTATCCTTACCCTTATCCTTATCCTATGAGCTGACGCCCATATAGTGAGATGGGCCTTGGGATGGGCCTCCATCATTATCCCCCACTTGGAAAAAACTCAACCCCGAGTCGTGACTAGGATATGCAAGTGTCATCTCTGGCAGGTAGCGATGAAGGTCAACAACATTGAACGTCTTAGAGATACCCATATGATTTGGTAGGTCCACGACATATGCATTGTCGTTGATTTTCTTCACGATCTTGTATGGACCGTACTTCCGAGGCTACAACTTGTTGTATTTTCCCACGGGAATCCTTTCCTTCCTCAAGAATACCATAACTTCGTCATCGACGTCAAATACTTGGTGCCGCCGATGCTTGTCTGCTGCCAACTTGTACTTGGCGTTGGTTTGTTCTAGCTTCTGCTTCACGGCTTCTTGGACGGATTGGATCTGGTCCGCCATCTGTTCTACGGAGGTACTGGCACCAGGTACTCTGGGTAGCTTTACTAAGTCCAGTGCATGATTTGGAACCTTCATGTAGACAATGGAGAATGGAGATCTACCTATAGAGTTGTGTATTGCATTATTATAGGCGAACTCAGCCTGTGCAATAGCGAAATCCCATTGTTTCGGTCTCTCCCGACATATACTGCGAATCAAGTTACCAAGGGTCTAGTTCACCACCTCTGTTTGTCCGTCTGTCTGCGGATGGGTTGTGTTGCTGAAATTTAGTGATGAGTCAAATAACCTCCATAGGGTCATCCAGAAGTGACTTAAGAACCTTGTGTCTCGACCTGATGTGATAGTCTTGGGTACCCCATGTAAACGCCTTGAAAAATAATTTGGTAGTCGCTGATGCATTTATTGTTTTCTTGCATGGGAGGAAGTAAGCCATCTTAGAGAACCTGTCAACCACTACGAAGACGGAGTCCATATTTCTTTGGGTTTTTGGCAAACCTAGCACAAAATCCATGGACAAGTCTTCCCAAATAACAGTAGGAACGGGGAGAGGTATGTAGAGACCAGTGTTTTGAGTTTGGCCCTTAGTTGTCTAACAAATATAACATCTACTCACAATAGTGGACACATCTTTTCTTAATTTTGGCCAATAATAACGCCCCTTAATTGCTTCAATTGTCTTGTCCCTTCCCAGGTGTCCTGCTAATCCACCCCCATGCAGATCACGGATGATCTTTTCGCGGAGGGAGGTGCAAGGGATGCACAGCTGTTTCCCTTTCATAAGGAACCCATCATAAATGTAGAAGTCATCTGCTGACTGTCGATTCCCACATTTCTCCCATACATGTTGGAAGTCCTCATCCTGGGCGTATAGGTCTTTTAGGCATTCAAAACCCACAATCTCAATACTGAGGGTCTTGGTGAGGGCTACACGTCTACTAAGAGCATCGACCACCTTATTTTGTTGTCCAGCCTTATACACAATTTTGTATGGGAATTTGTCAAGGAAAGCAAACCATCTTGCATGTAAATCACTTCTTAATTGCTTTTGCCCACTGAGATACTTTAGGGCCTGGTGGTCAGTATAAAGAACAAATTCTTTTGCAATTAAATAATGTTCCCATGTTTTCAAGGCTCTAACCACAGCATAGAACTCTTTGTCATAAGTAGACCACTTTCTCTTGGATTCACATAACTTTTCACTGAAGATAGCAATGGGTCTCTTTTCTTGGGACAATACAACCCCTATGCCAACTCCACTTGCGTCACATTCAACTTCAAATAATTTATCAAAATCTGGTAAAGCAAGGACAGGAGCAGTACATAACTTTTCTTTTATGAGAGCAAAACTTTGCTCTTGTTCTTCTCCCCATTGAAATTTCCCCTTTTTCAAACATTCAGTGATGGGAGTTACAATACTGCTAAAATGTTTAATAAATCGCCTGCAGAAAGTTGCTAACCCATGGAAATGTCTCACATCTGTGACATTTGATGGGGTCGGCCACTCCCTAATGGTTTTCAACTTTTCTTCATCTACTTTAATTCCTTCTTTACTCATAATGAATCCCAGGAATAACAAATTATCACTCATAAAAGTGCATTTATTCAAATTAGCATATAATTTATTTTCCCTTAATGCTTTTAGGACCTCCCTAATATGTTCAATATGCTCAGTGATAAAATTGTTGTAAATTAAAATATCACCAAAATATACCACCACAAATTTACCAGTAAAGGGACGCAGTACTTGGTTCATCAGCCTCATGAAAGTGCTGGGTGCATTGGTTAGTCCAAAGGGTATGACTAACCATTCGAACAGGCCATCTCTAGTCTTGAAGGATGTCTTCCATTCATCTCCGGGGCGGATTCTGATCTGATGGTATCCACTCCTGAGATCGATTTTTGAGAAAACTACAGCTCCATTAAGCTGATCTAGCATGTCGTCCAGCCTAGGAATGGGGAATTTGTATCCAATAGTAATTTTGTTAATAGTCCTGCTGTCGACATACATTCTCCAACTGCCATCCTTTTAGGTGTTAGCAAAGCTGGTACTGCACAAGGACTCATATTGACTTGAATGTGTCCATTTTTTAACAATTCTTCTATCTTTTCCCATAAAATCTCATTCTCTTTAGGACTCATCCTGTAMTGTGGGAGGTTAGGTAGACTAGCACCTGGAACAAAGTCAATATGATGTTGTATATCTCTCATGGGAGGGAGTTCATTTGGTAATTACTCTGGAACTACATCATGGAATTCATCAAGTAGTCACTGCACTTCCACTGGAATTTTATTTTCCTCCAGAGTCTCATTCATATTTTCTCCCTTTACTACTAACAAATGTACCTCACGGGTATCCTTACATTCTTTTACAAATTCAGCATGGTGATGGGTAATAGTAAGGAAATTTTTTCCATTTGCTTTTGGGGCCTTAGGAACACTCTTTTCAACCATGGGTAACAAAGTATAGCGTATGCCCTCTTTTTCAAGTTGGTAGGTATTCTTCCTACCCATGTGCCTTGCATCTGTATCAAATTGCCAAGGCCTACCTAACAAAATATGGCCAGCATCTATGTCTACAATATCACAATATACTTCATCATTATACTTACCAATAGAAAAGGGTACCTTGTAGCGTTCCTCCACCCGTACGCCGCCTCCTTTCTTGACCCACCCAATTGTGTATGGGTTTGGATGTTTTTCAGGAAGTAGTTGTAACTTTTGTATTATATCCCTGCAAATAATATTTTCTTGACTGCCACTATCAATAATTAAATCAAATAATTTACCCTTGACAGTACATCTGGTACGGAACAATCTGTGCCTTTGAGAGGTATCTTTATTTTTCTGGGATAGCATTAATTTTCTCACAACACAAGTATACTCTTTATGTTCGTATGGACCCTCTTCATCTTCCCCATCAGGTCCACAGTATACTTCCTCCTCCACATCTTCTTCCTCCTCCCTTTCTATCATATTAACTGCCTTCCTTCTGGGACAGTCACTAGATCTATACCCAACCTCATTACATTTAAAGCATTTAAAAGGAGTAGGCTTTGCATAGGGATTACTGGGTTTAGGAGGGTTAGAAGGGTTACCTCGAGTATGTCCTCCTGTGTTGGCCTTACCGACATTAGCTGTACTTGTCGGGTGAGAAGGTTTTACTACTGGGACTGATTTGTTCCTGTCGACAGTTGCCGGTCTGTTGTCGCTCCCGCTGTACCGGCGATAATTATCACTATGGGTCTTTTCTTGGAACATCAATTCTACTTTCAAGGCTAGGTTCCTTGCTTCCTGCACACTAAGAACCATCTGTACACCAATTTTATCTCCGATAGACGGTCTTAAACCGTTTAGATAACGGGCTGCCTGCTGGTTATCACTTTCAGATAATTGATTTCTTTCAACTAATTTTAAAAATTCAGATGTATATTCATTAACACTACGAGAACCCTGCGCACACCGTTGGTATGATTCAAACATGTATTGTTCATAATCTGGGGGTAAAAATCTACCTCTGATTAACTGTTTCATGCGCCTCCAGGTTCAAACAGGACCCCTTCCTTCTCTGATCCGAGTCTCTCTCATGCGTTCCCACCAAACAGATGCACCTCCTTTTAGTCGGAAGGCTACTAGTTTGACTCTCCGTTCTTCTGGGATTTCCATATACTCGAAGAAACGATCGACTTCTGTGATCCAATCTAGAAGTCCCTCTATGCCAAGATCCCCACTAAAAGTAGGAATATCTACCTTGAGTTTAAATTCATCATTATGCCTACGGGGATTGAAATTACCTTGATTGTGCCAATTTCTGCCGTTTCTGTCGTTGCCGGGAAAAACTGGAGCACCACCGAATTCTAACTCATCATCACTGTCATCGTCAAGAACTGAACGCCGGGATGCAGCGTTGACGGGTGGTCTGTCGTGGTCATCTCCTTCGATTGGATGTGGATTTTCCCGGTTCCATGGAACAACCTCCCATAACAAGGTTCGCAGTTGTTCAGCCATCTTTGCCAACTGCTGTTCGATGTTACGTGTGGTCGTGCACTGCTCTTCGATTGCTCTCCAAACAGTTGGGAACCCCTGATCTCCGTCACGGGGTGAGTTGCGACTGCTATCGTCTTGGTTGGCCATTTGACTGGGCGAACTCCCTGCTCTGATACCACCTGACGCAGCGTGGAAGCAATAAAAATCGGGTTGGCTACGCAAGCACCGGGCGAACACAAGCTTCTAGCAAAGCTAACGAAAATCTCGAGGAGAGAGAAAAGGTGACGAAAATTGAAGTGTAAATCTGAAGTGTGTATTAGCTTGGAAAGAGCAATATTTATAATACATCTAGAAATTGTAGAAGAACTAGGAAAGAACAACTATGATAGATATCAAAACATCTAATCTGCTAGGGTCGATTTCTTCTTGATCTTGGTCTTGATAGGATCGAATACTTTGGTTTGATCATCACTATCCGATTTCCCTGGATCTTATCCATGCATTGAACTCTTGATGAGTCTTGAATTCTTGAATTCTTAATGAGTCTTGGGTTCTTGAATTCTTGATGAGTCTTGGATCATTGAATTATCTTTTCTTGAATTATCCTTACCCTTATCCTTATCCTATGAGTTGCCGCCCATATAGTGAGATGGGCCTTGGGATGGGCCTCCATCAAAAGATGAGAGATATAAGTACTTATCATAAACGTCAGGGAGGTATAAGTATTTTACCCTGGCATAATTCATGGGTAATTTGGGTATTTAAAAAAATAGAGCAATAGACTTATATTTCTGTTCAGTTTCTAACGTGCAACTAACAGAAGGGGTCAATAGGCAGATTTTACACCAAAGGTCAGGAAGGTCTTTACAAACTTTAATGGTGAGGGGAGGTTTAAGTAATTATCAGAAACGTCAGGGGAGGTATAAATATTTTACCTTATCATTTGTTACACTTATGATAAGATCAATTTTTCTGCGAAGTTTCTAGATTTTTAATTATTTGATTTTTAGCATCACAGATTGATCAATTGAAACTGCTGATCAGTGCAAGCCCACCATCCATATGTAAGGCATTGCCATGTCATTTTTCAAAAGGGTCCAACAGATTCCAGAAAGGCATGATATTAACACACTTGTAACTAAATGAACCGGTATCGAAATCAATTGGTAACTTGACATCAATCAAAATTCACCGTAAGAACTTGATCAATCAACC